GTGGGCTTCGCGGCGCGGAAGCCCGGGAGGAAGGGACCCGAGTATCCGTTGCGGGAGATGAGCGTGTGTGTCGTGTCGCCGTAGGTGCGGATGACGGCGGTCAGGACGTTGCCGTGTTCCTTGTCCTTGAGGACGGTCGGGGGCTGAACGGCATCGGCGCCCTCTGAGACGGCCTTGTTGTATACGCCCTCGACATTGTCGACCTCGAAGGCGACATCCTTTACGGCGTCGCCGTGCTTCTCGAGGTGAGCGTGAATCTCGCGCAGGAGCTCTCGCTCCGCGTCTGAGATGGGCTCATCCTCGGGGAGGTGGGCCAGGGATCGCACCGGGGAGGTGAAGACGAAACGGACGTCGTTGTTGGCGACGGCGTACGAGGCGATATACCTGCTGCCCGTTTCGAGGCCCTTGTATGCTACGGTTTTGAAGCCGAAGAGAGTAGTGTAGTAAGCAGCGGCCTGCTTGGCGTTGCCAACCCACCAGGTTACGTGATCGTAGCCCTGGAAGTTGGGCGGCGGATGCTGTACTGCGAGTCCATCGCCGAGATCTGTTGATGCCGGGTAGGCGGCTTGCTGTGGCGGGGAGTCTGTGATAGCAGAAGGGGACATTGACACTCAGAAGTTTTCGGGGGTGACAGGACTAGGGTCAAGGAGTATGAGCGTGTGCAAGTGCGTTGGGATTCTCTGATAAGAGGCAGACAGAGTCGATGGTTAAATCTAGTGAGATTGTAGACGATGCTCGTTGAGGAGAATGGGGGGGGCTGTCCGTGTTATGTACGTTGTACCATCCATTCTATATGTACCAAGACACTGACACTGTATTATCAGATATGAACCTTATTCAACGACGGACTTCCGCCTTTGGAGGACAAGGACTTGAGTAATCCTGCATTCCACGCCCGCAGATTGGTGGCTCCCCGTCGCCGCATCTAACGCTTGTCACTGGCCGACCTTCCCTCCCGGGCGGGGGTAGTCTCTAGATCCTGTCTCTTTCCACAGTCCTTGCACATAGGCAATTCGTGACGGGACGGGCGCCATCCTGGTATGGCTTCGATACCTGGCAGTAGCGTCCCGAAGTAGAAGGAGAGGCTGGCAGCGGTAAAGCGTAGAGCCGGCGGTACAGCGTTGAGGTGAGATGCCAATCGCAAGCGGAAAGGCGCCGGCCGAGTGTGATGGCCGCGGTGAGCCGCGATAAGCCGCCGCTGGCCGGCCCATGTGCGGCGCGGCTTTGACGGGTTCCCCACCCATGCTTCGGATGCTCCAGGCTATGCCCGCCATCCCGCGCAGCACCCTCCCAGATTCACCCTGGAATACAAAGAACAGGAGGGCACAGGCGACTAAGCCGCTGTTTCCGTTCATCCTGGGGAACGTCTGGGCTCTGTACCGTGGGATGGGTGGGGTACCCACCATGACGGCATGTGCCTTATCTCATCGCCTCTGAAACCCTTTCGTAGCCGTCGCAGTGCGGAATGTGAGCATCTGCTGCTCGGCCCCCCGCTGAAGCCGCTCGGAAAGTGTTGCGTCTGATAAAGGTTGCCGTGCTGCCAGCTAGTCCTGGCGGTGTATGTCACTTTTGAGATCGGAAAAACGTGTAGTCGGTCCATCGTCACGCATCGCAAAAAGGTTCGAATTATCTCGAATCTGTTCCTTCGACGAAGAATATCAGTATTCTTCCCAAAACCATTCAATCTCTCATTCAACACTGCAAGATGGCTTCTGTGGACCTGACTCGACGAGACGTAAACGTACTCGACAAAATCAAGGACCCCGAATCCGACCCCTCGGCGAACGTCCTCCTCGACCCATCTCTGCCACGGGATCCTCACATCGTTGATGCCGCTGTCTACGAGCGAGTGATACAGAAGGAGCGTGAGATTATCATGTCCATGCAACAGCTCGAACTCCAATTGGCAGGATTGCGGCCGAGGACTGTATCTGAACCGGTGCAAGAGTACAAAGGTCTTCTCTCGAAGCTGGGCGACTTCATCGAAGAGTACCCCAACTATGCCAGCGCGAGGAACAACCGCGTACAGGCACTGAGGCGGCTGTACGGAGACACGATGCTGTTGGCGGGAGCACCAACAACGCCGCAGCGGCTCGTACAGGTGCCCGAAAACGCCGAGTTGATGCAGTACTCAAAAACCGCTTTAGAAGACATTGAAAAGTCCATCTTCCTCTTGACGCCGCGCACAATATTCGGCGCCATGTCGCCTCAGGCAGCCAAGACCCTGTCCCTGGCATACACGCAGCGCGCCGCCATCTACCACATGACTGCCAAGCTCGTAGAGGAGCACAGCGTACAGGTCGCGGAAGGGAGGCGAGAAGCTAGCTGGACGAAGCTTGTGTTTGAGGAGGCAGCGTCTCGAGACTTTGCTTATGGCGGAAGGTACGGCAACGAGATCGCTAAGGGTCTGGCAGTGAGCACGAATCCCACGGCGAAGCTGTGCGGGCAGATGGTTCGGGAGGCGATGAAGAAGGAGTATGGGCCGTCCTACGGCGAGTAAGGGTATATATAGTATCAACAAGTTGTGAATGCAAGCAAAGGCGGTTGAAGCGTCGCATCCCCTCCCTTGCCAATGGCTGTCACTATGAGTGCTTATGCCGAAGCCTTGAGAAGCCCTAGCCGTCTATATATCCGGTTGAATTAGTTGGGGATCAAAACAGTATAATGCTGATAGACACTGTACCTCTTCGCCGCCGCAATGGTCTCTTGTGTAGTCTTGCCCTTTTCCTTCTCCTCGCGATTGATTCTCGTTGCAGCGGCACCGAGACCAATCACCAAGGCAAAGATGGGGTCCGCGACCTTGGAGATGATATACGCAGGTGGAGGAGCCATGGTGTGTTTTTGGTTATTGTCGTCGTCGTCGCGGGAGGTCGCGTCGTTCGTGAGGCGTGGTAAAGCTAGGCTGTTGTTGAAGTGGATCGGAGGAAGTTCGCGATGAGCTCCGTGGTCAGCTTGGGAAGTGGAGCAGACTGAGGGCCGTACGGGCATGGTACCTGTGTACCAGTGGCCCGTCCAGTAGAGCTCCAGCGCGGACGCTGGTCAGTGGAAGCGTCCTTCCATTGCCAACGGCCCCCACTTGCAGCACCACCCACCACCATTGATTCGCCTATTCCCCAGTAAAATTCGGACCACGTGACCGGGCACATGCTTAGGTCCCTCCCTCCCACGGATCAATTTTGAAATTTCCTCTAGGTTATCAAATCCAGGATCTCACGTCGCAGCAACTTTCACCAACCGCCCAGTACGCCCAGCACCCACCGACAGCGCAGGTCAAAATGAAGTTCCTCAAGGTCGGCAGAGTCGCCATCATCACCCACGGCCGTTACGCCGGCAAGAAGGTACGATTATATACGAAAATTCTCGAGAAAGCCTACCCCGTCGCAGTACTATTTTCAACCCCGACTTCGCGAGAAGGAGGGGCGCGGATGAAGGCCACCCAACATCGACGTCGAGGAGTGTGAAAGTGTTTGGTCAGGGAACTACGGGAAGGAAATTATGGCGACGACTATACGAAACGATTACGAATTGCGAAAAGAACAGGAGGAATCACCGGTCCGACCAAACACTTTTTACACTCTTCGAGCGTCCGATATTTTGGGTTGAGGGCATCCACGAAATTTACTGCGAAGGAGGACAGTGGTGGATTGTGTCGGGGCATTTGCCCACACATACACATTCAACAATCCCGAGCGATTGCTAACGTTCCTCTCTGCAGGTCGTCATCATCCAGCCTGTCGACTCTGGCAACAAGGCTCACCCCTTCGGCCACGCCCTGGTCGCCGGCATCGAGCGCTACCCCTCCAAGATCACCCGCCGTATGTCCAAGACTCGCCAGGAAAAGCGCAACAAGATCAAGCCCTTCGTCAAGCTTGTCAACTACAACCACTTGATGCCCACCCGCTACACTCTCGAGCTCGAGGGCCTCAAGGGCGTCGTCAGCAACGACACCTTCAAGGAGGTCACCCAGCGTGAGGATGCCAAGAAGCAGGTGAAGAAGGTTCTGGAGGAGCGTTACACGAGCGGAAAGAACAGATGGTTCTTCACGCCTCTGAGTATGTCACTCTCTCCCACATCAAACGTGTGCCATCTTTCCTCGGGGGGTCACTCCCCACAAGATCGAGAGGCTACGTTTTGGCTACTGGCAATTCGTACATGTACTAATACCAAGCGCAGGATTTTAAAGGACAAACCGTTTTCTGCAATCGTCAACAGGTCGGGGAGTTGGGCTGGCTTGTAAAGAGCATCAATTGGCATCTGAGGTCCTCGGTTTAAGGGCTCCCAATGAGAAACCATTGAAATCCAAGACGTTTGCCCTGTGATACCTCAACAAACTGGAAAAAATGCCGCCGCGCTGCTGCTGTGACCGGAAGAGTGATAGACAAAAGAAGATGAGATTAAAAAGGGGTCAAGGGTCTATGATGACTGATGGGTATGATTCAGCCCTCGGCCGTGGGATGGCCATGATCAATGGAACATGAAATAAGCAAGTCAAATCAACTTTTCCAGCCAAATCGAGTCGTGATAGTTGCCATGGTCCCTACCTAGGTATGCTGGGTGCTTTCAACTTCATGTCATCAATGCTCGGCTGCCCACCGGCTCAGGTGCGGTGCGACCCACATCACTCGTTGCACAAAATATTGCAACCCACCCACACAACCCTCTATTACAAGCCAAGACCGAATTGCTGAAACCACGGCTCATGTTAGATGTTGAGACCATCGCCGTTTAGATTGAGTGCTCTCTTGTAGCGTAATAACTGATGACTGATTCGACGATGGCCACCTGATATTGTTTTCTGGCCTGATGCATCATAATCGCTGGGGGTGACAGCTATAAGCCAGAAACACTCTGACTGGCCGAAGCTTCTTTTCCATTCCCTAACTCAAGTTTGGCATGCCTAGTAGGTTGTCTCAAGTGAGCCGAGTCGATGTTTTTTCTAAACCATTGGCATCCAAGTTTCGATTCCCGCGCACATCACCTCATGTCACCGGTCATTTCGTGGCGGTATAAGGCTGTCGTTTGCTTTAAGCTTTGTGTATCATTGCGTACGTACATGTCTATATCCTCCTCTGTCTAGAGTACATCAGATTAGAACTTCATGATGCAAGCTATGCAACCTGGTCCCTTTTGCGCTCTGCGCCGTTGCTCTATAGCTGTACACGGGTGTAACTCCCCAGTCAAACAAAAGTCGGTTCCGTTTTCCGGATTAAAAAGGAAAGAAAAAGAAAAAAAAGGTCAACGGTGCACATGGGTGAAAGGAAGTTCGTAATATGTACTCAGAACAGGGGAATCGTCGCGTAGAGAGAGAGCTTGGTATCATCACATCTCTACGCCCACAAATAGGAAAATGACAGGCCAAAGAAAAGATGCTATCGCCTTCTATCCCACAACCTATGCCCTGCTGCTGCCGAAGTGGCTGTTGACCTCGTTGATGAGGTTGTGGGGATCGTATTCGGGAGCGTACGTCGGTGCCAGGCCGCCAAGCATGGTGAAGAGCACGAAGGCGGAGAACACAATGATGGTAAGCTTGCGAAGAATCGGCTTGCGCTGGCCGAACTCGGCCCACTGGCGACCGCCCTCACCCATGTAGCCCTTGATCTGCTCAAAGCCGAGCTTGTAGTAGACCATGCCACCGAGGGCGATGCTGTATCCGAAGAACTGGAGGCCAGAGACCTGGGTGCCCCAAATGGCCATGGAGGCGGCAACCAGCATGACGTCCTTGAGGACACCGCAGAGAGTCAGGACCAGGGAAGAGGTCTTGCCGATCTGAGGATAGTGTTAGTAACAGTGATTGGGAGATTTCGAAGGCATCGAAACTTACCAAAAAGACGACAGAGACGTTCAACAGGAAGGCGCAGAGACCGTTCAGGAAGAAAGTGAACAGGCCAACGTTGTACACCTGGTCCATGGTGACCTTGGGAATCTCCCAAATGAGAGCAACAGCCAAGTTCATGACAGCGCAGATAGGAGCGAAGTAGTAGACGGAAACGAGGGGGTCCATCTTGTAGTCGGCAGAGCTGAGCAGGCGCTGGACCATGGTCAAACGCAGGGCCTCGAAGATAACACCACCAATCTGGAAGATGACACCAATCCAGACGAACTTGATCTCGCCAATGGAAGCAATAATGACACCAACAACGATAACGGAGACGTTCAGGAAGACCTTCAGGTTAGGCGTAGAGACACCAAGAGCCCATCCAGAGAGGAGGACAGCGACGGGGGTCGTAGCCTTGAGCATCTGGATGAAAGCAACCGAGAGGTACAGGTAGGTCAAGTTACCACAGATCAAGCTCAAGCTGAAGAAGACACCGATAGGCACGATGGCACGCACGTAGACACGGCCAGTCATCTTAACCGACTTGCGTCCGTCGAGAACGTGGGTCCAGCGAGCGAGGATCTGGGTCATGATGGTCGCGAAAGTCAAGTGGTAGGTCGTCAGAATAACCGGGTAGCCTGTGGTCAATTAGCATCCTGCCTAGAGCTCCACGCTATCTTCTCGATCGGCTTACGGAAGTTGAGGGTGTCGAGAATCCATTTGTTGAACAGAATGACGGATGAGGACAGCGAGATCCAGACACTGCGAGAGGATTGGGTCAGCCAACTTTCACAGCAGCGGAAATCGAGGTTCTAGTTTCTCACATGACGTAGAGAGCGGGATGGATCTGAGGACCCTTGGATTGAGGGGACGACTTCTCGGCGTCCTGGTTCGTGGTAGGCAGGATAGAGCCGTTCTCTCCACGAGGAACCTCGCCTGAAACGCGCGTCTTCTCGTCGGCACCCATTGTGACGGTTTGGTGTGCGGAATGGGGAAAGGGGTGTAGAAGACGAGTGATTGAGGTAGACGGAAGATTGATTGAGGTCGTCGGTGGCGGCGGTTGATGTTGATGTAGGAGCAAGTTGATACAGCTCGAGAGCAAAAAAAGACGAGACGCGCAAAAACGAGAGCGAGCGAGTGGACGGGACGGCCAAGCAACTCGTTAAAGGTGTCGTGGGGTAGGCGACAGGTGCTTTAACAGTATGCAATGGGGGGTCCCAAAGTTAGACGTTAACGGACACCTGTGGTGGTACTTGAGCCGGTTCAAACCTTGGAATGGGGCTGAGCACGGCTTTCTGAATCTGTAACTTGTGATGAAGGAAGAGGGAGAATCGAAAGAAAAAGCCGGAAGCAGGAAGCTCTTGACAACCACAACCTTACAGGAACAGTTTAATAGAGGTCTGGAAAAAGAGGACAGCTGCTGCTTGCAGGGTGTTGGAAAGGGAAAGGGGAAGAAGGAAGGAAAAAAAGAGGAAGGGGGGTGGGTAGGCGAGGTTGTAGTGCAGCAAAGATATGGATGCCCCCCGGCAATTAGCAGCGATGGGCGTGAGAGAAAAAAAAAATCGACTTCTTCGTCTGTAGTGTATTCGTAGGTATTTCCCGCCCCTCTCTCTCTTTCCTTTGCCTTTTTCTTTCCCTTCTCTATGGTGTGTTTACCGCATACTGTGTGGCAGGTACGTGTGTAGTTGCGTAGGTACCCTCTCTCTCCTTGCTCCTGCTCTTGTTCTGGAAATTGAGCTTCACGTTGACGCGATCAAGCCCACCCAATCCAGGATCCGGCAGGCGATGTACAGTCGCGGATACTTGGTAGAGTGGAGCTTTCTCTCCGCCAGCAGGTGTTGGCACCTTGGCCGGAGCGCAGCCCGCATGTACCTGGTACAGAGAGACGATACCCAGGTTCCACTCTGCAACTGTGAGGGAGAGAGCAGGATGGAGGGGGCCACTTGTCCAGACAGAGACTCCAGACTCTCAGCGTCGGCCGTGGCAAGCGTGTGTGCGACTTGCGTGGTACGCCACCCTCTCAGGGGCTCCGATGGGACTAATATTAGTGCTGCCAATCTTGGATAGGGGCCGCAAATCAAGCTCTGCCCGCTCATCCACGTTCTGGTCCTTGGCATCTCACCAACGACGTGACTAAGGCAAGGTACCACGGCATCTGGCTCCTCTCTTTTTCTCACCTCAGAACCTTGAAGTATTACAGTGGGCGAGGCTTGACTCTTGAGCAGGTCGGGCGACGGCGATGGCGATGGCGATGGCGCTGCAGATAGAGTTAGGAAGGTCGTTTCTGCCGTGGCTCAGCATAGCAAGAGCTATGAAGATCAATCGAGACTTGGTGCCAGACCTGCGAAGCGATGCTTGACTCTTGTCAATGAACACTCATGAAAGTGATCCGCTTCCTATGGATACCTTCAAAAGCACTACAACAACCTAGTCCTAATGAGACTCGAGAGCGGTTTATTGTGGCAGGCACTCGATATTACATTGGACTGCATCTCATGCAGCTCTTGTCCCCTTGGCCTGTATGTATGTACATGTAGCCGTACCTTGCAGCCAATCCGGCCGTTTACAGATCCAGTACTCGGTATCATCACTACAATTATCCATACGTGCCATTCAACCCCCCATGGTGTTATCGCTGCTGTGCTAGGCGAAAAGAGGCTCTTACTGTTGGTTGGCAGAATTGGATGATTGCTCCGAAAGGGGGGCCAAGCCACCCCGGCCTTGCCTCACAGTCTTGCAGTCTCACACATCGGGCCTTGACCTTACAGCCGCAGCTAAGGCAGGTCTCGGTCAGGTCTTGTCACCAGGGTCCAAATGACATCTCAATGCGTTTGTCACTTGTGGCAGTAGGCTGTAGCATAGTTATCGTCAAGTCTATCTTTAAAGCTATGGTCTCTGGCCATGTGATCAACTAGGCCGCCTCTAAACTCCGTGACTGGCACGCATTCCTAGAGCCGGTAACCGTGAGGCATACATACTGCCCTATATGACTATATTTGGTAACACCAGTTATGTATCTGAGATCTGGACGCACTATCTCTCAACGCTGCAATTTAAACTGGTCTTTAAAAAACAAGCTAGAAGCCGCAGGAGAAAAGAAGAAAAGAAACTTGCTTCCCTTGGAGAGAGGGAGGCTCATGCATTAGCACCATCCATACCTTAGCAAAAGTAAAGTAGTCCGTACTGCTTCTTTCCGTCTTCTACGGCAGGCACTAACTTGTTGCCCTAACAAGATGGCATCATTCCTACTATGGCCACCTTTCTCGGCTGTAATTAATGTCAGACTCGCGCTTGCTTTACTGGTTACATACCCTTCTCGAACACGTGCGGACGCGGTTCAACACTCCATCATCCTGCCTTCCGTCACTATCCGTATTAGTCAGTGCTTCCTTCTCGCGAGGTGCCACGCTGCCTTCCAGGTTTGTGCGGGTAAGACCGCTTCGGATGGGATGCCGTCTGTAGTCGCACCTTCCATGTCACTTGCGTTTTCACATCTCCAAGTCTCAGAGCCCAAGACGTTGTCTTCTCTTCCCGAGTCTTTCACCCTGCGAGGGACCTTGACACCTGGAACATCGTACTTTGTACGAACAAGGTTCCCGAGGCACTCGGTCAAGTTTGTCGCTTGTACTCTGTACGGATACATGCAACTCAACCATTCCCGTTTCCTATCAATCTGCATCCGAGTTCACTGCCCTTCCATCCTACGAGTCGCGAGCTGGTGGGACCCTAGGATTTTGCACTTACGGATACCTTACCAAACCTAGTTTTTGGATTGTCCTACGACCGACAAGCACAGCCCTCGCTCTTGTTCACGGGCACTTGTTCTCGTCGCCTCCAAGGACCGAATCCGTCGACATGTCGCTCATCAATGTGCCAAGTTGGTGATGAATTGTTACGGAAAGCGGAATCCGGGACGTGGGTGCTGGTCCCTGGGTCGCGGCTTCAAGCTGTCCCCCTGGTCCTCCCATCGCCCTACTCTTAAAGATGGGACGCCATCTTCGCAGTGCCACGCCTTGAGGCGCCTTTCGGGTTTACTCGGACAGATGGTAGATCGTGGACACCGGCCGCTCGGGTCCTTTGGGTTCGGGAGGCTGAAGCCTGCTCGCCTCACGTCCTTCATGCTTTCGGCCATCATCTCCCGGCCCCGAAGAGTTCATTCCAACTTCTGCGTCTAGCCAGGTCTCACTTCAGCCTTACTCATACTGCCTCTTGCGTGGCTGCCACACTCGCCGTACCAAACCCAACCTCAGTACGACTATGTCCAAACTCAAAGGTGACGAGTGCCGTGTGGCATGTAGCAAGTGGCATGTGGAACGACAATTCAGATACCGGAGCCGACGACTAAGCCTCGACTCGACATGCCGCTTCTGCAGAACCAAACAATCGACACATGGTAACCTCAGAAAGCTTCGAGTTTGTGTTTGCGACAAGGCTGCCACTTTTATTTTGGAAAGGCTGACATAGCTGGGGATTATCAATTTCTCATTGGGTCCGTCCGTCTGGATCCATTTGATGGGACATGCATCTTGGCTTGCATCTCCTTGATGTTGCTATTTGTGTTTTTGGTCGCGGGGTTGCAGCTTGCTGTCCTACATCAACCCGTGACCTGTGCATACAGCACCAAGTATCCGAATGTTCATCAGACGAAAGTATCTACCTCCAAGTCGCTCGATGATACATATTCGGACTCGCTCGACGAGTGAGTGATCACAGCCTCGATACCAAGCATTCTGTCAGCCAAAGTCTCCGCTGCAATTCTCCAGCTGGGGCTGCTGTTATTAGAAACTCAGTGTTTGGAGTGCTTCCCTGAATCGGCGGCTGATCAATTCGACATTCATGCGGTGCCCCGAAACTGGCCAGGCTGATCTACAAGAGGCCCAGTTTGTCTGTTTCAGAATGTTGATGAGATGGGTCCCGTACCCTGTGCCGGCTGCCGGGCAGGCATTCCAGCAAATGTCTTGTTCGGGGGGAGAGGCCGTGAGGCCGTCTTTCGATACTGGAGTACGGAGTATGGAGGTGGTGCTGGGGATGACACGCGTGCTCGAATGCACGCACACGGAGATGCCTGCCAAATGGACCACTTGCCAACTGACGGACCGATGGTCAACATTTGGTGATCGACTTTCACAGCCTCCTTTGCTGCTCCGCAGATGAGAGGCAGGGGCAATCCCACATTGGGATGGAAACGTCAATCGCCAACAACCAAAGCTGGCAAGGGACCCAGAACGACGTCTGTTTGTAACAACTACCGACGGATCGAAATTAAGTCGTGCTGCTCCATCAACAGTCCAACGCGGACCCAGCGGTGACGACAACGGACCAGGAGTGAAGAGAGAGCACGGGAAGATTTCCCAGATTGCTAGATGTTCAAACGGTGGCACCTGGCCCGAGTGCCACCAGTCTCCCAGTCCCTTGCACCGTTTTGCCCTGGCTCATCTTATTTCCTCAGCACACAAAGCGCAACGAGTCGCTGGCTCCGTGGGGGCAGCATGAGCATTGGCAAGGCGAGAAGAAATATGAAAGACCAACTTCAAATCTCTTGAGACGACGATCGCTGAGTGAAAGGCGACATGCAGGCAACCTCGCACCAGCGCGGGAAACAACGATATCCCTGCTCGCATCTTGATTGGCGATGCACGAAGTTGATGAAAATGAGCAGATGGAACATGGGCTTTTGCAAGCAGGCGATTGGAGAGACCCATCCCGCTAGGATAAAGTGCGGGTAGAGGCGACGGGACACTGAATCACAAAACTGTTGGTGTCCCTTTTCGGCTTGTCTCACTGGTGCAGAAGCAAAAGCAGCTTGAGGCGCGCCGGCATGAACGTGGTCCAAAACGTCGACGGATATCACGTTTCGGCTCTTTGTACTTATTCGTACGGAGCAAAGGTACGGATACGGTTGGGTATCTGTCTGCGACTCAGGCTCGGCCTTGGACGCGTACCCGACTCATGGAGAACCGCCGAGTTGTCGCCAGGCCGAAACGATTCACAACAAGCCATGGTGTCATTGCTGCTGTGCAGGACAACAAATTGAACAAATTGAGGCAAGTTTGTTTTGCTGCTTTGCATGACGGGTTCTTGACGAGCTGCAGCGTGCCCACGGAGGTGGGATTGCGTTCATTTTATGAGATTACACTGAGCAGGGTTCCGTTATCGAGGACATCGCAACTCGGCTTAGGGCTCTCCAATCTAGACAATCTCAGAGAAGGCGGGCTGCAACAGGTCCAGACTACCTTGCCAGTTACCTTAGCCGCCCCGTACTTCATGTCACCATGGAGGCTCTGCAGCACGCGAATCAAACCACAGAGAAACGTGGTCGACCATCTGGCTAATGTCCGAGAGATAGCCAAGATGAGTCGAATCCTTCCCCGGCCAACCATACCAACTTGGTTGGTCAAACCCCACGGTCCACGGAAGGATGACAATGTGGCGGGAGCGGCAGCGGCAACGGTAGGTACACAGACGCACACGAAAACAATGACAGGTGAAGGCTTGAAGCCCCCCAAGTCTGAGAGTTTGAGCGAAATGACGGACGGCAGCTGCCCGACTGGGAAATGCAGGCGAAAACAACGTGTGAATGCAGATTGACAGTGGGTTTGAGTCGAATTATCAAAAATTATTAGCGCAAGCCACATCGAAGGTCCAACCCACTTCCGAATGGCGGAGAGATTGGCATGCCAGCATCTGCCATCCAGGAACTGGCATTTCGCGGGTTAGAGAAGCGCCGCTCATTGCCAGGACAGTACTGAAATGGGTTCAGCCAAACACCTTTTTGGAGAACGACCGAAGTTGTCGAAGACTAGGAGTTCAGAGGAACAACGAGTTAGCCCGAAGAGGATCGTGAACTTCAGGAGCCAGCATAGGATCTGCGTTGCCGGGAGTCCGGGACAGGGTAAGGAGCGGCAGCGGGCAGCAAAGCCAGCACCAACAGCGTCCGACAAACTGATGGACAATTGACCATTCGGAAGCGTTGCTTTGACGGCAGGACCAGGGACCCTGCAGAGGACGAGAGAGAGGCACAGATGGTTGCTGTCGATGCCCTTGGGCCTTTCTGATCCCTCTCTTCTGGTTTGCCGGCAGCTGATGAAGGTGCAGCATCTCGAACGCACTGTATCCCCGACGGGAGGCGGTCAACAATAGACGTGCAGACGGGTTACCATCGCCTTGGCGGTCTGTCACCGTCTACTGCGGTAGTGTGTGAAAAGGTGGGTGGGTGTTTACGGGTGGGTGCTGCGGCGCGCGAATGGTGCGTCGAGGCCGAATTAGACAGGAGATTTTCATCAATCAGAATGAGGAGCAGCGGCCATGAGGCGTGTGTTTCCGAGTTTCGCGACAACCTTCCTACGACAACGGGTACGCTCGACATAGATTCGAGATTGGGTTGTGAACCTTGCGGGCCCTTCCCTGTGCCTGTCTGTCGTTGATTACACTACGGACGATCTGCATGTTTGGAAAGTCAATCTCTCTGAGGTGTCAAATTGGTAGGGTGACTTGGCTAATAAGTCTGCCGCAGTCTGCTATGCTTCTTCCCGTCATGCCTGCCCGCCTTTTATTCTTTGTTGTTACTTTGTTACGAGTCTCTCTGCCTGCTCCTAGTATACATACTTACTTGTGTCTATGATGGAGGGGTTGCAACTTGCGGACCTATTGAGGGTGGATCATGAACCGTTCCTCTTGGGTTCTTCTACGGCCTAACACCAACCCCTACTAGTGTATTGGAACGGGTTGACGGGTGCGTGTGCGTACGTGTTTAATGGGCACCTATGGGGGGAGGGGACGAGGAAAATTGGGAAAGTAGGGAACGTGTCCTCGAGTCCTTGGGGAAGCGAAGGCGAGTTTGCCTCCACATCTCTCTCCATTTCCCGGTTTCCAGACCGCACAAAAGAGGACTGTGGATAGGAGGAACTGGACAAACCAGGCCAGGCCAGACCAGACCCAGGTGGATGGAGGGTGTATGGCCCATATCTTTCTTTCATCCCACCTTTGAACCTCGACACGGGCCTGATCTCGGATCATACTCACGCTCGCGGCTCACGTCTATAATGCCTCACTTTTTTGGGACTGCTGAGGGCTGATTCGGGCTTTCAGCCCGTGTCTCTCGAGGCTTGGTCTCACTAAACCCCCCTACGTACGAGTGGTACGGTCATGATCATATGGCTCAGTGTCTTTGCATCGTGAGAAAGCAAGAAAAAAACCCACTCGTCTCTTACGATGTCGTCTGCGAAGCCAATTACAGGCAACCCACACTCTCAACTCTGTAACTCGCCGTGGGTCGCAGGAACTTACCCAGGCCCCGGTGCCGCTATTGGAGAAACTTGGAGACTAGAATCAGTGGAATGCGGTATGTGTATCCGGACGGCCTGTCTTTTGAGCGGTGCGCGATGGTGGACAAGCTTCTGGCAGCTCCACTGTTGTGGCTGTAACATTGACATCCGTCGTCCTCTCGATCAAGAGTCTCAACTTTCAAGTGAGTCGAGAGTCTCCCCCTGTATTGCTGTGTAAGGCTAGTGGTGAGCATACGGCCGCCGTATCTTTCTTCTTTCTCCCGCTCCCACATGAAATCATGAAATGCCCAGACTTCCAGAGTCCAGAGGCCGGGGGTTCATATGAGCAAGGGGGCAATGGGAAGGAAGCAAGGCAAGGCAAGCAAGCGTGTGGCGAGCCAGCACGAGGGCCCGGCCTGGGGTTGCGGTTCGCTGCCGTCCGCGCCGCCTGTCGACGTTCCCGTTCCAGTTTTGCTGTGCAGGCCAGGGCCCAGACCCCTGTGAGATGGAGAAGGAGAAGGAGACTGAGGTGGTCTGTCTTGGCTGATGATGGACGAGGGAGCGAACTTGAGCCTGGGTGCGGGCTGTCATCTGCGGATAGATAGAGTGCGGCACGGGTAGTGAGAGACCTGAGTCTGTTCCGTGGATGAGATAATGGGCAAATGCTAGCATGGTCATTCGGCGGCGGTTGCCACGAGGCAAGGAGAGTTTCTGTCAAATAAGACCTTGTCTCAAATTGTCGGGACAAGATGCGCCGGGACGTAGGAAACGATCTTGTTATAGAGACGGGAAGCACACGCGCTTGGCCGCTTGCTTTACTTGAGAGCCTCGTTTGGTGACAGCGAGGCAGATGGTGGCTGCAGATAAAGTAGCTTCGCCGCCAGCCGCCAATCCGGTAGGTATAGCAAGCAGTAAATCTGGCGTACGGTGTACCGGGGTGTCTCCACCATCCCAACCACCCCTCGTCGAGACTCGATGATAGCTATTCAATTGGTGCTGGAGATCTATAGAAGTAGCAGTATCCTGAAGAGAGAATGCCATTGGCAAAGTGGAAGAAGTGTACCTTTCGAACGGCAGCACTGAAGCGTGTGTGTTCTCGGCGGCAGCGGTGGTGTCGATGTTGCGATTATCTCAAAATGTGGGGGGCATGTCTAGGTACCTAGGTAGAAGAGCGCGGCGTGCCTTCCCTGAGATGATGGACGGAGCATCTTGGAACATGACACTAAGGCTCAGGTACATAACAGCCATGGTACGTACCGTTTGGCACTTGGCACCCACCCATGAAAGACACCAAATGTGAGCTTCATGTCCTTGACCAGGGGGCCCCGCTAAACCCCTTGTCCCAAATAATAATTTGGCCCCTCCATCACAGTTGCGGTGCGGGAAGGAAGCAGGAAGTAACAGCACAGCAGCAGCAAGTAGCAGCAGAAGCACCACCACCACCACCACCACCACCACCATCTTCCGTCCCTTCGGCCAGCAAGAACCACCAGTCAGTCAGGTACCTCATTACCTACCTCCCTCAGTCAGGAAGCAGGTACACACGCCTCGCCTCCCAAGTCGAGTTCGGTACCTGAGTCCAGTCCTGGTGTGTGTGCGTCCCCTTTTTCTCTGGAACCGCTCGAAACCAGAAACCCATATCTACAGCAACGGCCACGGCTACCACCTCCCGCGCGACTTTTCTTTCCTCCTTCCTTTCTTTGCTGCCAATCCTCAACTTCACTTTCTCTTCCCCCTCGGTGCATCACTTGCTCCTTGATCTTGCAATTCTCCTCTTGTTGCCAGATCTTCCTCCACAAGAGCCGCTCTCTTTCTGTTGCTGCTTCCCCAACACCTACACACATCCCCCACCATGGCTGACATGTGAGTTGTTCCTCATTGCCCCCTTCCCACCCCAAATGTCTTTCGCTTGCCCATTGCGCCCATTCCAGAGCCACGGCTCCGGATCTGCCTGGCATTCCAGACGCCCAAATCATTGAAGAATCGCGACTGACTGTGTTTCCCCTCATTTAGCAACGTTGACGTCTTGGTTATCGGCGCTGGCCCGACCGGTCTCGGTGCTGCGAAGCGTCTGAACCAGATTGTGCGTCCTCACCGCCAAATTGCCACTACCCCGGCCCGCCCATTGTTCCAATGCTAACATTGACTGCAGAACGGCCCCTCATGGCTGCTTGTTGATTCCGCCGAGAAGGCCGGTGGTCTTGCCGGCACTGATACCACCCCCGAGGGTTTCGTGAGTGCCTCCTTGTTTGCCACGTTTTCCTTCCCAGCAGCAAGATTGCTCGGGAATTGGGGTCGTCCAGGCAAAGAAACGTTTTCTAACCAGTCTCCAATGAACAGCTCTACGATGTTGGTGGCCACGTCATCTTCTCCCACTACAAGTACTTCGACGACTGCATCGAGGAGGCGCTCCCCAAGGAGGATGACTGGTTCACGCACGAGCGTGTCTCCTACGTCCGCTACAAGGGCATCTGGGTTCCCTACCCTTTCCAGAACAACATCTCTATCCTGCCCAAGGAGGACCAGGTCAAGTGCATGAACGGCCTCATTGACGCCGCCCTCGAGTGCCGTGTCGCCGACAAGAAGCCCAAGGACTTCGATGAGTGGATTCTCCGCAACTGCGGTGAGGGTGTTGCCAACATCTTCATGCGCCCCTACAACTACAAGGTCTGGGCTGTCCCCACGACCAAGGTAAGCCTACTTCCCCTATGCGAGAAGACTCCCCTCGAGACTGGATCTGCTTGCTAACGTCAATGTCTCTACAGATGCAATGCGCGTGGCTTGGAGAGCGTGTCGCTGCTCCCAACCTGAAGCTCGTCACCGAGAACGTCGTCATGAACAAGGTTGCCGGTAACTGGGGCCCCAACGCCACCTTCAAGTTCCCCGCCCGCGACGGAACCGGTGGTATCTGGATCGCTGTTGCCAACACCCTGCCCAAGGAGAAGACCCGCTACGGCGAGAAGGGCACCGTCGAGAAGGTTGACGCCGAGAAGAAGATTGTCACCCTCAAGGACGGCACCAAGGTCCAGTACGGCAAGCTCATCTCCACCATGAACGTCGACCAGCTCGTTGAGCGCATGGGCAACCAGGAGCTCGTCAGCCTGTCCAAGGGTCTGTTCTACTCCTCCACTCACGTTATCGGTGTCGGTATCCGTGGCGCTCGCCCCGACCGCATTGGCGACAAGTGCTGGCTGTACTTCCCCGAGGACAACTGCCCCTTCTACCGCGCCACCATCTTCTCCAACTACTCTCCCTACAACCAGCCCGAGGCCGACGTCAAGCTGCCTACGCTGTACCTCGCCAACGGCGAGAAGGCCTCCTCTACCGAGGCCAAGGAGGGTCCTTACTGGTCCATCATGCTCGAGGTCTCCGAGTCCTCCATGAAGCCCGTTGAGCAGGAGAAGCTCCTCCAGCAGTGCATCCAGGGTCTTATCAACACCGAGATGATCAAGCCCGAGGACGAGATCGTCTCCACATACCACCGCCGCTTCAACCACGGCTACCCCACTCCGTCGCTCGAGAGAGAGGGAGTCCTCAAGGACCTCCTTCCCAAGCTCCTCGACCAGGGCATCTACTCCCGTGGCCGCTTCGGTTCCTGGAGATACGAGGTCGGCAACCAGGACCACTCTTTTATGCTAGGTGTCGAGGCCGCCGACAACATTGTCAACGGCGCCGTCGAGCTCACGCTCAACTACCCCGACTTCGTCAACAGCCGCAAGAACGAGGAGCGTCGCCTTGCCGCGTCATTCGCCTTCGGCTCCCAGGCCAACGGCATCCCCTCGCACAGCAAGTAAGCCTACCACGTGGTGGCGGAAGCTGTTAGAAAAGGAGGCAAAGAATTGCATTGATTTTTCAAGTCTTGTTGCTATAAAGCAATAGAAAGAAGCATGAGCATGACCAATGGAAGGAGGCAAGCTCAGGAAAAAGGGAGCTGCTTTTGGCTAAGCATAAAGAGAATACCTGGGAGTTTTTACGATGTTGAATTGGGGCGGGGGAGGGAATATCATCCGGTGCGCCATACCCACGATGTCGATGTTGAAAGTCGTGCGCAGCTGTAGGCGTGGGGGGCCAGCTTGCCCTCGAAAAGGAATACCTACATAGAGTATAGATGTTTGGCTTCTGCAATCTCACACCATTCGAGCATTTGTTTGTTCCACTCTGATATTGTGTTGTCGTCTCCCGGGTGGCCTCGGCGCCGGAGGTGCGTCCGGATAGCTGCGACCCTTGCATATGAAGCTGTAGTGTGACTGATGCGTAATGGGCATGCCAACGGAGACGGACCGCCATCCGGTCGAATTAGCGTCTATCTGACAAAAAGTCACGATCCAGTGAGCCGTTGAGTTTGGCACCCTTGTCTCTGGCGTCTGACATGTCCTTGTTTGCTTGTTTTCTCGTTTCCCCCATTATACTTAGTCAGCGTATTTCAAGCCTACGAGGCTCAACTCATTAGAACCAAGGAATCGGGGCTTCCCATCACGACCTCGGATGAGTTGATACGAGATTTTGCATCTTCATCGTCTCCGCAAATGCGACGCTGATTCTTGATATTGGTCTATGGAGTTCAAGGGAAACTGGTTCAGGGACCTATAATCCTAGGCCAATATTGCACGTAGAAACAGGGACTTGGCATTGAGGTCTTTATTCTTAGTAATATCCCCAGACCCCGCGGGTGAAAGGATTTGGGTTATTATCAGACGGAAATCAGGAAAAAAGTGGCGAAGTGGTTTATTATAGTCGCGCAAGTCAAGACCATTTTACGGCTTCGTCTTCTCCTTTCCTCGCACTCTTTTCTGCGACGCTAAGAAAGCGACGCAGTCAAACCACAAAAAAAAAAATAATAATAATAAAATCTCAGGGTCCGAGTGAGGTAGCATGGTAGCACAGACTAGTTTGGCAGTGCGCCAATGACATCATTTTTCTTTCTTGTCTTTTGGCTTTAACTTGTTCGCCCTGAACTCTGAGGAGTTTATGCCACGACTCAGGTATCTGCAAGAAATCTTGAAAACAAGATGAGATGGATGGCTTCGATGATTCGATGCTAGTCTCGTCACTAAGATTTTTCGTCCTTCCCCGTCCCGCCGAAGACACCTTCGAGAATTTCTCTGGGAGCTGAAAATTTGGGACTAGAAGACTTGGAGGAGCAGGGGTTTGGGTATGTGAATGAGTCGCGACGGCTCTGTCAGGCCCACGGCGGCGGTGGGGGGCATTTTATCTTATTTCCTTGGTGAAAGAGACGGCGTGGTTTCTACCCTGGTATGAAGAAACGGCTGAATGTTTGGTTCATATTGGACTTTGGACCCTTTGATTGACTACCTATCTTTGAAGTATGCGGACGTTGGGCCCAGGGCTACACATAACCTACCTCAGAAGATGGGTAAACATGTCTATGCTCTAACAATGGCATGGTCACCTTCAGGCTTCGAGCCTTCTAGACTTTGAGCCAGCTGTCAAACGGAAACGCTCAACTCCGGCGAACTACTTACTGGGCGGGCGGAAAAGATCAGCAGAGAAGAAGGCCTGGGTGTTGAGGCGGGACGGTCAAGGAATCAGCGGTCAACGGTGCTCGTTGCAAGGAAAAACAGGACGGGAACCGGAAGGTGGATGGGGGGAGAGAAAGCCGGTGGTGCTAAAGTAACGGGTTCCATCATGGCGCGACGGACCTAATGAGACGGAGAAAGGGCGACGGGTGGAAAGCAGCGGAAACGGACAAAAAAAAAAGCAGGGAACAAAGGCTCCGGCAGTTCAGTGTGAAGGAGGGTGACCAGATCTATCCGTAGATTTGAGAAACAGACTGAAGGTTGTCTGTACTTCCATGTCTCCCGTCATCTTCCAAGGTTCTGGCGAAAAGTCCGTCGGGAGCTTGGTGAATGAAATATGTGAGGCTTGTAGGAGTTTGGAGCTGTCGATTGACTGGTGGGTATGGATGGATTGAGGGATTGAGCAAAAGATGCTCTGTGTCACCCCAGTAAGCCCTGTTTATCGCTGTGAGTGTGGACGGCTGAGAGCTCCGATGATCGACATTTTGTATCTGCAAGCTCAGCCAAACAGACAGTCGAGAAGGTAGGAACGCAGCGACGATTGTTTTTTTGTTCCTGCCAATCATTCCCTGTGGTGGATGTTTACCCCTTTCTTGTGCTGGTTTTTGCATGCCTGCGCAGTACTGTTTCGAGCTACCTCTGCCTGCCGAGTACGCCATTCATGATTCCATTCGCGTTTATCTGGCGCTGACTGGAGAGGGTCTGCCGTTGGAGCACTGGAGATAGGAGCGAGTGATGATGGGCTGGGAATGCTTTTGGCTCAAGGGCCTAGAGCCCCCAAATAAGTGGATAGCTTTTCTCTTCCTCCACTGTTGTGACCAGGGGCTAGATTGGCATGCATCTTCCTTCTCCTCGTCTTGGTGATCTGTCTTGTTCATCTCTCCGAATTTCAGCGCAGACATGTCCGCTGCGGAGCCTTTTTCACAAGAGCACCAAATTCCCCTGGCTGAGACTGCCTTACTGTGTGTTCCTATAGAGGAAAGGTGAAGAGGAACAAGGAGCGACCTGAGGGGAACGAGAGGAACGAGACAAGGAAAGAACGCCGAGATGTCACTGGCGTGGGTCCTGTTTTTGTTTAACAGAGACACCAACGTTTGCATGTTTGACGAGGGGAGTTTGGGGAGGCGTTTGATACCTTCCATACTGGATTGGATGGCTGCCCCATTCCCTATTTGGCCTCTGACTTACTAAGGCACATGCGTATGTCGGTCTTGAAGTTGTCTGTTTTCTCCGGGTTCCAGACATGCCTATCATGGGGTGCTCTGTGTGCAAGTGCGACTGCTACTGCTACTTCCAGGTGTAAGTATTCTCTGCTTTCTTGGAACAATTCCGAGAGACAACTGAAAGGTTACAGTGCCCGGAGTTGGCCTGGTTTGGTTCAAGTTTTCCAGGGCAGGTGCAGGCTTCCATTTCCCTTGAAAGCTGGAGAGATACGTCCCATTGCGGATGGATACTGAAGATGCCTTAGCACTTACGTACCTACCTAAGGTAAGATAGGTACTCCATAACAGCTAAGGTGGGAGAGGACTTGGTGCTTGGGAAGGCGCGGGCTTGGTCCCTGGCGCTTGGAAGGTGCCCTTTGCTCCTCTTAAAAATCATTACGTACTCCACTCCTCAAGGGTGCTGCTGCTTCAGAACTCCAGCCTGCCCTTGCCCGCGCCTGTCCAGTGCCGCACCTTAAGCAACCTCCGGCTGCCCTGTTCGCCGGATGCCACCATCGCCCAACGTCTCCGTGCAGCGTGCATCCTGCCCCATCTCGATCCTAAGTGGTCAGCAAGGCGGCCAAGCAAAGGTCCAGTCCTGTTCGAGGTCCCAGGTGTGAAAGCGAGAGGTTCAAACGGCACCGTCAACGTCTGGCTATTCTTCCTCCGACAGCTGCCCACTCGCTCACCCGTCCGTCGCCCGACGACGCCCTCTAACCCCATGGTCATTTCTCGTCTTCCTCAGTTCACAGATTGCTGAAGATTGCTGTTGCTGCTGCCTTTTCGCCGTATCCATAGCGAGGCCGACCACCCCTCGTCCACCTGATCCGATTGTGCGCGCGCATACCCATACCCGGCCGATGCAAGAGACCTCTTGCATGCACAGAAACATCAACACCATCCGCACTGTAATCCTCCGTTTTACCTAACCCCCGTCGTACAAGTTGCGCCTCGAGCTTCTCATGGAAATATGACATGGACGGTAGTCTCTAGCTGACAATCACGACCCCATCTACGTCAACTTTGACTCTCGCGACGACATCATCGCCGACTGCGAAACAAAGGCCGACGCCAATAAAAGGAACGCGCCCCAAATCCCACCCACCCCACCATCGACAACTGCACTTGGCCTCCAAGCTCCGGCTTGCGCCTAATGACCGGCCTCAATGATGGACGGCACTGCCATCGTGTCGGACGACCACTTCGACCCTCCCTCGCGCCTTTTTGAGCGCCTTCGCCAGATCGCCGGCTTTACCTGGGACGAGTCCCGGCTTCCCTTCCATACATCTTACGACATCTGGTGAGTCCCGCCTCCACACCATTGCCTTCCAGTCTTGCCCGCCGAGCACCAAAGAACAATCTCTATCGCTTTCTCTCTACCTCTCCTCAAGTGTTGCAATGGCTAACTTGCGCGGACAGGCACGTTTGCGGCACCAGATTTGTATCTCCATACCAGCCCTCCTCCTCTTCATCCTTACCCGCCTCGAGTCCCGGTTCGATCGCGAGACTACAGTCCGGCCGGCCGTCGCCCTCCGAACATGCGAGCTCCTCCAGCCTTCACTCAGGCCTACCCAGCGATGCGAGCAGCGACTTCTCGGCTACCTCGCCGCCCGCGGTCCCCGCCGGCGCTGCAGAGATATCATACGTAGAAGAGCCAGTGGTGGCTCGCGTCTCTTACCATGTGCTCCGCGAGGAGAGGGCCTTCCATATAGCTAAGAACTTATTTGCCACGGCCGACCCTCAAGGACTGCACATTGTTAAGCCACTCGACCTCATCCGTCTCGCTCCTCACCCCGGCGATCGGGGCTCTATAGTGGTCGCAATCTATCAGCATCCCGGCCAGAACTACCTCTTTAATCTGATGGACATGGGACCGGCATTCTACAAGGCTAGGAAGGTTGACGACCGGTACGAGGCGTATCGCAAACAGAATTTACGTTTGAAGCCTCCGATAGACCTACAATACTTCCTCGACTTTGCCATTGGCGCAAGTCAGTGCCTGGAAATCCTCCACTATGGGCAGGTGATTACGCATGGAGAGATCAGGCCGGACGCCTTCCATTTCAATATCGAGACAAACTCGGTCAAGCTCATCAATTTTGGCACGGGGACGAGATCCTTCGAGGGCGGTTTGTCGAGCACCTCATGGTCGAGCCTATCAAAAGAATTGGGCGCCAAAAACAAGCTCCTCTATATTAGCCCGGAGCAGACAGGTCGTATGCCGGCAGAACCTGATAGTCGGACTGACATCTACT